ACATGGTAGAATAATATTAATTTATTTTCTCCTTTTCCACAAAGACATAGCAGATAAAGCAGCTAAAACAATGGCACCATTAATATAAGAGAATAGTCTCTATCTAGACTCACCTTTGGATTCAGTGCTCCTTTCTTAAATTTGACTCAAATCATTGGCTATTCAGTTTATTAGTTACACACCCATCATACCATGATGCAAAATTGCTGAAAATGTGAAGATCAATACAATTCCAAGTAATATGTTGAGGTGGGGGGGAAATGTACTGTAATCTGGGTGAAATCATTTTAAACTAATTTTTACTTAAAAAAATAAAATCTCAAAAAAATGAAACCTTGTTTGTCAGAAATGCCATAGTGCATAGGATTTAAGCAGGTACTGAGAATAAAAACATAGCATAATTTTTGACTCTGTGAAAAGTGTAAGACTCATTTATATACAAAAATTCTGAATTTTGTCTCTGTCCCAAATCTCTGCAATATATATTCATTGTATTGTTTTGCATTGTTTCTATTCAAATCTTCCCTTTCTTTTGGAAATTGCCATATCCCAGGAATCCCATGACTACCATTGGAACTGCCACATGCGTGTAACTATTGTGCAACTCCAATTGACACCTTCTATATTTCCTTTATATAGTTTATAATGTGAATGGCACACCCTTATAATCATTCAAGTGGTGACCCTGGTACAATATGACCCTACCCTTGACCACAAATGATCCAGGGTTTTACATATGATCCAAAATTTAAAAGATACAAAGAGAAGAGCTACTATCAGACAGCTTTTTCCTTCTTGAGCTTTGGGTATCCAATACCTGTTTATATATTCGGAGAAATCCTCTTATCTTTCTTGTAGATTCTCCATTGTTGAATAAGGTAGCAAGATTTAGTAATTCAACTTGAAGGAAGAAATGCCTCAGGCTCTTGCTACCAGTGATAGGGAGTGTGCTGGAGGCAGCTGATTGATGTTCTGCTCTCACAGCAATATTTCTGTTTGTCCCTCTACCTTCCACTCTCTCTAAAAAAACAATAAAAATATATTTTTTAAACAAAACCCTTGATTTATAAAACCACTCTAACCTAATAATGAACATCCTCAAGCATATCAGACAAATGGAGCAGATGCAATGCTTACTTATTTTTCAAAACTAAATCACTCTAATTGAGGATGTAGGGTCAGGGTTCAAATTTTCTGTACCTGAATTCCGATCTTATCATTAACTGTAATGGCCGTGTGCAAAATGCTTCATATTAGCAGCTCAGTTTCTTAATATGTAGAATAGGAATAATAATAGTACCTTTAGGATTGTTGAGAGAGGATTAAAGATTTGAACATAGCCTAATTTGCTCTTTATAGAGTCAGTTATCATTACTACTCTGTGAAGGTATCTGAAATTCCTCTGAGAAATTTTCCAAACCTCCATCTGATATGATTGCTTTTTTCTTTGTGTTATCACTCTCTTCTAAGCTCTCCTCCATTAAATTGCTTAATACATTGCTTTACAATTATTTATGTATATGAATAGTATGTACTTATATAAATATTCTATTTCCCTTTCCTATTTATAATTTATTTTAGGGCAAGATCTGTGCTAATTCCAGGTTTACCTATAAAGATCATCTTGAACAATGTCTGTCAAATGATGGTGCTCCATAATTATATTTGACAAAAATTAGCAAGATTACTGAAAAAACTACCATACAAAAATACATTCTACTCTTTGTCATTATTATGTTTTTTTTTCTCTCATCAATCCAAACATGTCTCCATTTCTCCATTTATTCATGGACTTATTTGGCAAATATGTGGGTAGAAAACTATAGTGTGGTGTGTTCTGTGGAAATATAGAATGAATAACAATCTCTGTCCTCTAAAGCATTTTGCAATCTAAGAGGGGATAAAACAGGTACCCAAATTGCTGTAATATAAAGTGGAAGGTGATGGGTTTTATAATAGAGGCACTAGGAAGGAAATTGCCATAAGATCTATAAGATGTAGAGATCATTTCAGGCTGCAAGGCTTAAAAAAGACTTCAAGCAGGAAGTGCATGTGAGGTTGTTTTTAGAGAAATGAATATGCTTTCAATAGACTAATAAAATATTTTCTCACATGGAAATGGTCTGCATGTTAATGAATTTCTTCTAAGTATGACTGTTATTGACAGTTTTGATCCACCAAATAGACTTTGAGGGATGCCTCTACAGTCTTTGGCTTGGGTTTGATCAAAGTAGAGGTAAGGCTGAGAGATCTGTGTTTGCTTAGCTTCTACTTTTCCAATGAGCCACTTTACTACTACCTAAAACTCTCACAGTATGAACAAATCAGCCTTTTTTAATTTCTCTAGAAACAAATCAATATTGCAAAAATAATTTTGATATCCATTATGAACAAAGATGATGCAACTAACATTGTCTTTGAGTTGTTTCCCCAATATTGATTGTACTTCTTTAAAAAAAAAAAATATATATATATATATATAATTGATTTTTTTTTTACAGTGAAGAAGGTAGAGTGATAGAGAGTTAGAAACATTGATTCTGCCTCCTGCACACCCCCCCACTGGGGATGTGCCTGCAACCAAGGTATATGTGCCTTTGATTGGAATTGAAGCTGGGACCCTTCAGTCTGCAGGCTGATGCTCTAACCACTGAACCAAACCAGTTAGGGCTGTTTGTACTTCTTTACAGGGAAAAAAAAAAAATCACTATCTGGAATTCTTTCTGGAAATAACATTATCCAGTACATATTTGTTGAGTGCCTACTATGTACCAGACATCATGCTCTCCACTGGCTTATTTTGGTCAAGAATATTTGGTTGAGCCGAAACTGGTTTGGCTCAGTGGATAGAGCATCGGCCTGCGGACTGAAAGGTCCTGGGATTCGATTCCTGCCAAGGGCATGTACCTTGGTTGCAGGCACATCCCCAGTAGAGGGTGTGCAAGAGGCAGGTGATTGATGTTTCTCTATCATCAATGTTTCTAACTCTCTGTCCCTCTCTCTTCCTCCCTGTAAAAAATCAATAAATTATATTTTTTAAAAGAATATTTGGTTGAGATATGATTTATATACAATGAAATGCACAGATTTAAAGAGTGCAGTTTCATAAGTTTTGACAAGTGCATGCACCTGCATATACAATGCCTCTATCAGGTTATAGACCATTCTTATCATCCCAGAAAATTTTCCTTCCCCATCACACTTCAGATACAACTACTCATTTGATTTCTTTTACCAGAGTCATCTTACCTATTTTAATATTTCTTGGCAATGGAATCACACTGTACTCTTTTATGTCTTATTTCTTTCAATCAATATATTTTCTCTGAGATTCATTCATATTGCTTCATATATTAGCAGTTTCTTTATATTGCTACATATTAGTGCCTTATATCAATAAAATAATATACTTTTAATCTGTTTTTCTACTGATGGGATTTTGGATTCTTTTTTCACTTTTAGCTGTTGTACTAAAACCCATATACACATTCTTATACAAAGTTTTGGTGTACAAATCATTTCTTTGGGGTAAATATGTAAGAGTGGAACTTTCTATCATAGTACATATGCATGTTTACCTTTATGAGACATTTCCAGGCCTGTTTCCAAAGTGTTTGAACAATTTTACATTTTCACCAGCAATATTTGAGACATCTGGTTGCTCAACATTTTTACTAACACCTGATGTTGTATTTTTAATTTTAGCCATTTTTATGGGTGTATAGTCTCATTTTACATATCCACGATAAATAATCTGGAGTGATTTTCCATGCTATCCTATCTAATAAAAGAGTAATATGCAAATTGACCATCACTCCAACTCACAAGATGGCTGCCCCCATGCGAACACAAGATGGCTGCCACAAGATGGCCAGCAGGGGAGGGCAGTTGGGAGGAACCAGGCCTGTAAGGGGGGTGGGGGGGGGGCAATTAGGGTCAAGCCTGCAGGAGAGGGGATTTAGGAGTGACAGGCCAGCAGATGAAGGAAGTTGGGGGCGACCAGGCCTGCAGGGAAGGGCAGTTTGGGGGGACTCAGGCCTGCAGAGGTGAGTAGTTGGGGGGACCATGCCTGCAGGGGAGGGCAGTTAGGGTGACCAGGGCTGCAGGGAAGGGCAGTTAGGGGCAAACAGGCTGTCAGGGGAGCAGTTAGGCATCAATCAGGCTGGCAGGGGATGATCAGGCTGGCAGGAAGAAGTGGTAAGGGGCAACCAGGAAGGCAGGCAGGCGAGCAGTTGGGAGCCAGAAGTCCTGGATTGTGAAAGGAATTTCCGACTGCCCCTTTAGGTCCGATCCTACCAGGATCAGGCCTAAAAAGGCAATCGGTCATCCTTCAAGGGCTCCCAGATTGGAAGGAGTCTAGGCTGGGCTGAGGGACATACACCCTAATTTCATGTACCTTGTTCTTATATATTTATATATCTTTGTAGAACCTTAACATGAGTGCCTGTTAAGGTTTTTTACACATTTAAAAATAAAATATTTTTATATTTACTTTTCTAAGTTGTTTAGTGTGAACAAATCCTATGCTACTTATATGTAAGACAAATATATTTCCCAATATGTGGTTACCTGTCATTTACTTAAAACTATTTCTTAATGAATGGTTTTTACTTTTGATAGATTATATTTATCTGTTTTCTTTTATTATGATTAACGCTTGCTAGGTTCTAAGAAATTATTGTCTGCCCTATAATCTACTGTATACTTCTAGACCTTTATAGATTTATCTTTAAAATTAGGACTATAGCCCTCCTTTCTAAATGCAATTGTTGACTCTAGAAGCCGATAGATACCGTCATTTGACTAAGATTAACAAATAACATGCTATTTCTATTTTTTTCGGAGTGGCAGAGAGGTATTTATGTGTCTGGGTTGGCCCTGAGGCGGGGCCGGTGGGGAATGAGTTGACGGTGACATATAGAACGAGGGAGTGCTAGGCACTTCCTTTTCCTGTGGGAGCTGCTGGGTAGAGAGGAGCGTGGCCCTCTCCTCTCTCCGCCATGGCGTGTGCTCGTCCACTGATATCCGTGTACTCTGAAAAGGGGGAAACATCTGGCAAAAATGTCACTTTGCCTGCTGTGTTCAAGGCTCCCATTCGGCCAGATATCGTGAATTTTGTTCACACCAACTTGCGCAAAAACAATAGACAGCCCTATGCTGTCAGTGAATTGGCAGGTCATCAAACCAGTGCTGAGTCCTGGGGTACTGGCAGAGCTGTGGCTCGAATTCCCAGAGTCCGAGGTGGTGGAACTCATCGTTCTGGCCAGGGTGCTTTTGGAAATATCTGTCGTGGGGGCCGCATGTTTGCACCAACCAAAACCTGGCGCCGTTGGCACCGCAGAGTAAACACAACACAGAAACGATATGCCATCTGCTCTGCCCTCGCCGCCTCAGCCTTACCAGCGCTGGTCATGTCTAAAGGTCACCGTATTGAGGAAGTTCCTGAACTTCCTTTGGTGGTTGAAGATAAAGTTGAAGGCTACAAGAAAACCAAGGAGGCTGTTTTGCTTCTTAAGAAACTTAAGGCCTAGAATGATATAAAAAAGGTCTATGCCTCTCAGCGAATGAGGGCTGGCAAGGGCAAAATGGGAAACTGCTGTCGTATCCAGTGCAGGGGACCTTGTATCATCTATAATGAGGACAACGGAATCATCAAAGCCTTCAGGAACATCCCTGGAATTACTCTGCTTAATGTAAGCAAACTGAACATTTTGAAACTTGCACCTGGAGGACATGTGGGCCACTTCTGCATTTGGACTGAAGGTGCTTTCCACAAGTTAGATGAGCTGTATGGCACTTGGCGTAGATCTGCCTCCCTCAAGAGTAACTACAACCTTCCTATGCACAAGATGCTCAATACAGACCTGAGCAGAATCTTGAAAAGCCCAGAGATCCAAAGAGCCCTGCGTGCACCACGCAAGAAGATTCACCGCAGAGTCCTGAAGAAGAATCCACTGAAGAACCTGAGAATCATGTTGAAGCTAAACCCATATGCAAAGATCATGCGCGGAACACCGTTCTTCATCAGGCCAAGAACCACAAGCTTCCGCTGGATAAAGCAGCAGCAGCACTAGAAGCCAAGTCAGATGAGAAGGGGGTTCCAGGCAAGAAGCCTGTGGGGGGGAAGAAAGCGAAGAAGGCTGTGGGCCCTAAGAAGCAGAAGAAGCCTTTGGTGGGGAAAAAGGCTGCAGCTGCCAAGAAGCCAGCAGCCGAGAAGAAGCCCGCAGAAAAGAAACCCGCCACAGAGGAGAAGAAGCCCGTGGCATAAACTTAAATTGTTTATTCCAGAACGGTCAAGTCACTTTACTTCGGACAGCTAATTTTGAATAAAAATATGATCAAAGGCAAAAAATAAAATAAAATAAAATAAAATAAAATAAAATAAAATAAAATAAAATAAAATAAAATAAAATAAAATTAGGACTATAAGCCATCTAGAATTTAATGTTTATACAGTGTGCAGTAAAGGATGAGGTTCTATCTGTCTCTCTGTGTTTCTGTCTGTCCCTCTCTTTTTCTCTGTCTCCCATATAGCTAAACATTTGTTTCTGAGTATGCTTGGAATGTTTCTTTTTCTCCACTTGAACAAATATTAGAAGGCCTGTTTCTAAAATCACCATTCTCTTCTGTTAAACTATTTGTGTTTCTTTGAATACCACATTGACTAGATGGATGCATATTTATAATTAATCTAAAACATCAGAACAAATCCTCCAAATTTGTTCTTTCTCAAGATTACTTTGTTCACATTAGGTCCCTTGCACTTTCATATACATCAGTGGTTCTCAACCTTTCTAATGCTGTGACTCTGTTTAGGAATACTCTTTCTACCTTAGAAATCAATTTGCAAGAAAATATCATTTAAAATAACTTTTCTTAGCCTTTTGTACGTGTAGAGGAATAGCAATGAGAAGGAGACAATTCTGAGGTGAAAAGCTCAGAAAAGAGCAGGCTGAATTAAAATCATGAACACCAAACGATTGCTTTTCTCTGAGGGTATGTCTGAGAGGGTATTGAGACTGACATTGGAATCCATAGACAGAATAAAGCTGATTGTCTTCCCTAATGTTGGTAGACCTCATCCAGTCATTAAAGACCTGAGTAGAACAAAAAGGCCAAAAAAAAAAAGAGGGAACTCCTCTTGATTGACTGACTAAGGTGGGACACCAGTCATTTTCTGCCTTCATACTTGAACTTAATGTATTCCTGGGTCTGGAGTTCCTGGATTTCAAAGTAGAACTACACATATGCTCTCCTGAGTGTTCAGCTACCTGACTGCAAGCATTGGGAGTTCTCAGCCTCCTAACTTCATGAGTCAATTCCTGATACTTTCTCTCTCTCTCTTTCTCTCTCTCTCTCTCTCTCTCTCTCTCTCTCTCTCTCTCTCTCTCTCTCTCTCTTTCTCTCTCTCTCTCTCCTCTCTTTCTTTCTCTCTCTTTCATTTCTGGAGAATCCTGACTAATATACCAAGCCTCTATAACTTTAGCCAAATTCTCATAGATCACAGGGCAAGACAGATTTTCTGCATTTCCAGTTACCAAAGATCCCCAGTATCTAGGCCCATATCCTCATGTTTGCTGCAATGCTTACATTACTGATGCAACTCTGAAATTATAAAGGAAAATGACATTTATTTACATGTACTGAACAGTTATAAAGTAAATAGCTCAGGGGTGGTGGTGGATAAAAGTGCACCAAGAAATAATTGTGTTTCTATTCCAAATACCTACAAGATGAACTTATCATTTGAACAGTAGGGGGCCAGCCCATCTCTGTCTTAAAATGTATTTGCCTTGGATATTTATTCAGCCCTTTATGATATCAAACTGTCTCAGTCACCTTTAAAAACAAAGAGGTATCATTTTAAAAAATTGAGGTTAAAGGCCAGGTACAATTATTCCTTAGACACATTTAAACTGCCCCATCAACATGCAGTTAGCACTTACTAGAGTGGCACAATTTACCAGAGAAATTGTGCCTACTGAACATGATGCTGAAAAATAGAACTTGAAAGCAATCATGAAATGCTATGATAATAAATGATAACTTCTCCTTTTAAAAGACATTTTAGTGGGGGGATACACTTTTCTGATGAAGGATAAGATAAATGTAGTTGTATGATATATTTTTCATATCAACTAATGGCCTGGGTTCTGTATCTCAGCCCCAAACCTGAAAATAAGGTATGTTTTGCCCTAACTTAGCATTCATCTTTTAGAATTTAGCTCGTGCATTTTCTGCTTATTTTAAAGAAACAAATAGTCATTGAGTTCCATCTATTTACAAAGTGTTGTTTTAAGTATTCTAAGGATGTAAATGTGATCAAGATATAATCCTTTCTCAAAATGCCTTACAATTCACTGGAACATTTTAACGAACATTTATTGATCACCCTCACGTGCCAGGCTGTGTTCTAGGTAAAATGGATACACAGATATATAGGACACCATTTCTTGCTCTTGATAAATACTTACTGAGGAATAGGCATGCAAATAAATAATTTGTGTAAAGTAGAGATAGGTACAAGGAGTTAGAATAAGGAGTGACGTGACTTATTCAGTCTGGAAGAGGAGATAGTCTTGGTTACAAATAAAATATGAAGATGAGAAAGTGTGGTGATGTGTTTGCATTTCTCTAAAATTCACATTAAAAAAAAACAAAACAAAACAAAAACCAACAACAACAACCAACCACATGCAATATACAAGAAAAGAGCCATGTTGATTAAATCGAATCCAAGATGGAGAATATTGGCAATCCCCATGGGTTTGGCATGCCCTTGCCCATTACAGATATGAAAGGTGTTCTCCTTTGAGCTCCTTCAGCAAAGATGGTCTTTTGAATACAATTTACCTCTAACAAACCACTTTTCTCCATATATGCTTAGTCTTAAGGTTCTATATTCTTGCTCAGAGTTTGTAGGCAGTGTGTCTGATTGATATTTCTTCAGCAATCATCAGATGTTTTGAACAAAACGAGCAGAGTAGGTACCAGTTGACTGATGGAGACAGCTTTTCCTCCATGACACAAATATTCAAAGCTGCTTTCCTCAGAGAAGATAAAAAGGCCCTTTGGAATAACAAAGGAAGCACCATCCATGCTATGCAATACCCTCAGAGCATTATCCATCTTGATGCAAAGGTTCTGCAGTCCATTGTGATCATATGTGTAACCAAAAGAAACATTAAAAAAAAAAACACCTACTTATGCAATAATTCACTGTCCAGTAGCTTAGGAAAGAACATTGTCTTAGAACATAAGGAAACATAGAATGCCTTCTAAACAGATAATATATAAACAGTGATTTTTGAGTACCCATTAATCTTTAACTAAATTAAAAACAAAACAAAAACCTGGATATGCCTAACAGGGAAAAACAGGTATCTATTGCATACATTCCTGGCCTGAGTGATTGTTTGGAGCTAAGAGTTTTTGGAGCTTAGTTTGCTTCCAGTAAAATAGGATATATGGAGAATTATGTATAAAGAAAGAAGACTTCTATTTCCTGGTTTCAGCTTATGTAAGATTTATACATACTTAAAATAAATACAAAATGCATATAAATATAGCTGGAAGGTGTTAAGACAAGAAATAATATAAAGGTTCTACCTAATTCTGCAATAGGGACTGGCTAAATATTAAATAGTATAGATTTAAAAGTGAAAGTACCTGCTTTTCTGCAGATCAGACTTATTCTATCACTGTCTCCTTAAACTATCAAAATAGATGCTAGTCAGATATATTTGAGTACAAAAAAAAAGAACATTCATTTTACTATCAATGCAACCAAATGATAATTTGTTTTTAATTCAGCACCCCATATATACAAAGCACTATTTTGTCACAAGGAGATTCAAAGAAGCATAAAATATACAGTCAAAAAGGTTATAACCCAATTGTGATGAAAATATGAGGAAAGTTGTTATCCCATATAAAGTATGAACCCTTATTATTTACACAATCACTACAGATTTACAAGATAGTAGATGCTTTAATGAATGGGCATGTCAGGGATCACTCTGCAAGATGTAAGACTGCAGGTGGATCTTAAGGGAGAATTCTGTGGAAATAAAACTCAGAGTGGTCTTGGGGATGAGGCATCAGATGCCTGCTCTGACTGGAAAGGTTGGTCCCTAGAAGGGGTTACTGGGAGAAGGATTTAGGAGCAGATCTGCAAAAATTTTGGATTTTAACCTGTGAGCAGTGTGACAAGCTTGAAGGATTCTGAGCAGGGAGTATTTATTAAAGGAGGCACTTTTGGATTTGGTATCTGAGTGAACTATGCATGCTGATTCTCTGAGAAGAGATAGTAACTAGTTAAGATGATGGGAACTTGAATGAAAGGCTTCAAAGCCGAGTGCATAGACTTACCTGAATCCTGGAGTTAATCTGAGGCATGAGGGTATCTTTTCCATTCGACTTGAAACACTTTTCTTTCTTATAACCTCATCAATTTTATTATAAATATATACAATTTTAAAGGATACAGAATTTGTGCATAGTTTTTTGTTCTGTTTGTTTCATACTAAAAGACCAATTTCCCTAGACAGATTTGCTTAGGTCTACAACCCTGCAGAATGAGCTATGGATGGTATATTCACAGGACACTTCCCTAACTAAATCTCACACATCTAGAGATTTAGTGGACAGTGGAATTCAAGAATTCCACTGTGTCCATCACTCCCACCCTGTTTGGCCAAGGTCAGCCTTCCTGGGAGTGAGGCTATATCTGTCTAGAAAGAATCCAAGACGAACATTCAGAAAGAAATAGTAAGAACCTTACTAAAGTACACACATTGTATTTAATTCTCATTTTTAAAAGAATGGGTTTGCCCAGGGAAGAATGAGCTTCCTCAATTGTGGAGAGACAACTTATTAACAGGAGGTCATAGTTTGATTCTCTGCCAGGCCACATGCCTGGGTTGCAGGCTCAATCCTCAGTGGGGAGTGTGAGGGTGTTGACGGATCAATGATTTTCTTTCATCATTGATGTTTCTTTCTCCCTCTTCCTCTCCTTTTTTCTTTGAAATAAATGAAAATATATATATTTTTAAAAGAATGGGTTAACAGAAAT